ATGAGGCTAGCATAAAGAAGACGGGTAGAGTTCAGAATTGGTTGCTAGGGGTACTGATAATCCAGAATTCAGTGCCGTTACTAAAAGTTCCCATGTCTTGTATCATCGCTGCCATAGTATGAATTTGTAAGCAAAGTTTTGTACTATAATGACTACAGCTTAACTGATTTGAGAGAGAAGTGTGTGTAAGGTGTTTGGATATTGTAAAATGAATGTAAAGGCAGATATAAATAGAATTTTACTACAACATTCATTTACTCATAAACATGTATCCAAGTTGCTTTTTTTTTTTTTTTTTTTTTTTCATTTATACGTATGAGTTTGATAAAACCAGTAAGATTGGGCATTTCTGTGTAGAAAGCTCATGAAATATCTAGAAATTCTTGAAAGTGTTTTAGTTTCAGTCACACTTGTTTTTCTCGCTAATAGTATCCATTATTACCCAGTGTATGCCCAGTGGCTGCTAGAATTTCTGATGATTTTGTCACATGAAAAGTGGCACATTGCAATACTCTTTTACATGAAAGACATGAGTGTCTATAAGTGCATATCTGCTGTCAGTTTTTAAACTGTTTACTGGTATGATTTGTCAGGTTTGGTATTTCTGGGGTATCTAAAACACAGAAAAGGCTGTAGTTATAAAAGCTTTCTGTATTGATCAGTGATAATTTTGTTAATCTAATTGTTGATGGTATTTTTCTCATATATTCCAGTTCATTGTATTATAACCAGTGGATATTCCTATTGTTATTTATCACTATGAGTATCTTTATCACTTCTGTCATTAATAAGGTGATTATTAGAATTACTATTATCAATTTTATTATTATTATTATTATTGCTATTATAATTGTTATTATTTCCTGATAGACAGCAGACTTGTAAGTAGCTCTCCGTCCTTGGCATGTTGTCAACAGTGCCATACAAGCCTGACCATTCTAAAGGGGATTCAACAATATCACTACCACCAGTGTTGCTTTGTAAGACCCAACAGTGCAAAAGGTGTCACCATGCAAGCTGTTTCTTGTTTTCATTAGAACAGTTAATTGTCACAGTCATAATATTACCTCAATAAAAGATTGATGCCCTCCGCTGTATTTGAATGTGCAAAATTAGATTCCGTAATTGGAGCACTAAATGTATGATTTCCTAAGATTTTATTTAGTTAGTTTTCCCATATATATGTTCCTTGAGAAGTTGGTACCAAATCTTGTTGCTTTGTATATTTTCATTGAGGGTTGATTATTATTCCCAGAGTAAGCCATTAATATATCAAATATAAATTTATATATATATGTAAATATATATATGTATATATATATATACACAGACACATACACAAACACACACACACACACGCACATACCTGTAGATTCTGATTCTTTGCTGTAATTGTCATTTGGTCATTGAAGTCTTTTTCAAATAGTAGCCTTCAGGAATGTTATATTAAGTTTTAAACGCTTCAGTCTTGAGAAACATAAGGATGTGATTTCATTGATGCATTGTGTTTGTTCCATGCACTGTATACAATACCTTATTCTCATGGATAGTCATGAATGAAGTCTCATTATAATTCATCTTTCATCCATCTTGCAATCAGAACAAGTCAAAAGAAAGATAGAGTTTTGAGGGAAGTAAGAGAAGTACATATATATTGTAGTATTTGTTCTGAACTCTCATTTTCTCATGGCATCACATCTTTAGGGTTTATTACCATTTTGCCATTTTGCTGATTAAAGGTACAAGTTGAAAAGCTGTTTAAAATGAAATGATAAACTGTTTGATTTTTATCTTTAGGTATTTTTCTGGAGTGGTTATTATATATGAAGTGCAGTATTATAAGATTGTGTTTTTCATGATTTGTAGATTTTAAAGGAAAAGATGAGAAGTTTAAGCAGTTAAGATAGTATTGTGTAAATGATATGAATTGTAATGTTTCTATAAAGGGATATCAGATGATTTTCAATGCTGAAATAGTGAAATAGAACATATCTTGAATGTATGGATTTAATTATGATTATTAATGAATTCATGAAGTAATGACAGTAGGTATATTCCCATTTGATTGAAAAGCTGATTATCTACTTGGTACACAGTTGTGAGAAAGAAAAAATGTCACGAAATGCAACACTCACTGTTGGAGAATTTTTTTTTGTTAATTTTGAATTGACTAGATGGTTTTTGTTATATGTGTATTTTTTTCTTTTCTTTTTTTTTCTAGAGAATATTTAACTTGGTGTAACATTATTAATTTATTTTCAACTTGTCAGTCCTAGTATGGCTGCATTTTGTAGATTTTTGTCATCAAAGAATTATATTTTCACAAATAGAAGAAGAAACTTGTTTGATAACAAAGACTCAGGCATTATGTGAACTGCATTGCAAGACAACCCTGTTTAGTAATTTAGATTTTAATTGAGCTACATATTCATCTTAGCATTTAAACAATGACTGTAACAAAGTAAAGAAGAGCTAATAAATGTAATGAAAGTGAAAAAAA